TGTAACGAAATCATGCAACGGATGTCCCCCCTCTACTCGTCCATGCAGTCGACTTCGTAGTGGGGATCGCTTGAGCCGTGAGCACGCTTCAATGCAACGTTCGTTACAGGCAACTCCTGCATGTATAGTGTAAAATTTAAATTCATAGTGTACAAATAATACCATTAAACCAATTCCTTAACCCCTATCCCAGTATGTTTGTGTGTTTAAAGAAGTTTCATTTCAGTAGCGTGTTGTATAATTACACGTTGTATTTTTTTTATTAATAATAACGTATTAGTCCTTAATTTTTTTTAATTTATTTTCAGCTATATACAGATGCTTGTTTCTATCGGGGAATATATGAAACAATAAAGGAACAAGTTCAGAACTCAAAATCTCCCATTTACTTTTATAGATTTTCATTTGATGGCAAAATGAACCTTTTGAAAAAAATCATGCATCTAACGCAGCCAGGTAACACATTCTTTAAGCTTTTATTTTTGCTTTCCTGTAATTATTATTTTTGTTTTTTTTTTTATTAAGGTGCAAGTCATGCTGACGAGCTGGCGTATTTGTTCAGTAATCCCTTGTTCCTACCCGACAATAGGGAATATAGTTTAGAAATCCTGACCATACACCGATTATGTAAATTATGGACTTCATTTGCACGTTCAGGGAACCCGAATTTCAAGAGCGAAGATGACGAACTTAAAACAGAATGGAAACCAGTGCAAAAAGATAAATTACACTATGCAGAATTGGGAGAAAATATTACAGTTGGGGTTAACCCAGATGCTGCCAGAATGGCATTTTGGGACAGAATATTTGGAATTCCTTCGAAACTTTAATAAATATACTAATACTATAATTACTGTGTAATGAATTACGTATCTAATAATAGATATTTTGTTACATTTGGTTAATAAATACACATATTTTCCATATATTACATTTCTGCTGCACTTTTTCGTCCCTGAAATCAGTAACAATCGTACTTTCAGGGCAGGGCGGCAATTCACACCCGGATGGAAATGCCATAATTTCATCCTCTGGTGCGTAACTTCTTTTCCCATAGCAAACACGTTCGTTTCATCCACTATTTTTTGACTAACTCGTAGCTAATTTTAACTTAACGTGGAAGGCATCTAACTTTTTAATATTTTTAAAGTCGAAAAACTGCCCCCCCCCTTTGTGTAAAAAAAGCGAGAAACGTTATTAATAATTTGACAGTTCTTGGATCATGGATTTTCTTTTTGTAAAAATTCAGATTGAGTTGTAATAGTCTTCGATTTTATTTCAATTTAAAAGGAACCATTACGAATTCGAAAACTTCAAATAAGTAGTTTTGCTGGTTTTTTGAAGTGAAACGCTCATAATTCACGATCAGGATGAAGTTTAGAGGTTGTCAAGTGTATAGTGCCTTATTACTTGTGTATGGGATGTTTTTCCCTGAAACGGATTTTTATTAATAATAATATACTAGACGAAACGTAATAAAGAGGTGGGGGGGGGTCTTTGTGACGAAGAAGGGGGAAGGGATCAAAAAATTAAATTTTAAAAGGTGTATTGTACAAATGAACTCCAATGTGAACCATTACATTACTCAAACAGAACGTTTCAGAACAATCCAAAACGTTTTTCTCCTTTTGGTATAAGTATTTTTTAAGGTAAATTAAGTTGAAAAGTATTTACATATATCAAAAGGATTGATACCTACAATAAGATGTGCCTGTCCCCATATTGACTTTGATTTCTACAATAATATCTAGAAAAGGGGAATGAAATGTTAAACCTAAATGATAGACATAACAGAGTTAAATTAATTTCGAAAATTTAAACATTGCTTTCGAGAATGCCTTGTCAGTCGAAACTATTACTATTATGAGTAGGGTTGCCACCCGTACTTTATTATAAAGTATTGTACTCTATTTCGACTGTGCGTACGATATATTTTACAAGACATATAAAGTACGCAAAAATACTTTATTTAAGGCCTTAAGTAAACATCGTAATTTTGTAAGCGATTATTCGAAATTCACAGTATTTGTACAGAAAAATGGCAAGCCATATTTATGGAACAAACTGATTTCCCAAATCTGTTCAAAGTAGTGTCACTTTTGCTGTCCGTTCCGGCCATTTAAGCATTTACAGAGAGTATTCTATGTTATGAACGCAAAGTGGTGGGACGACAGTTGTGTCATGGGACGACAGGAATAAAGCTAAAACTAATTAAAAATGGACTTTTAGTTTACTTAAATCTTTGTTTAGAGGCTATTAATATATTTAAGAGCGACAGCAATTTGTTACTGGCTGCTAGGTGTAACAAAAAATATGTTTTTAAAAACAAAAAATAAAATACTTT